GCTTTTTTTTTTTTTTTTTTTAAAGATTATTTATTTATACAAGCACTGGGTAGTCAGAAGAGCGGGAGGGTGAGAGAATTCACCAGAGCCAGAGCGGGGAGCAGAGCAGGCAGAAGGACTGAAGTACACTGCTGAGGGGAGCAGCGGGCGGCAGGAGAGGTCTGCGCGCCATGTGGGACCCTCCTCCGGTGGCCGGGGAGCAGCCGGGCATCGAACCGGCACTGTAGAGGCTGCGGACAGCTTCGCAACCCAGCGCTCAACCGCTGCGCCACCGGGGAGGCCCGTGTTGGCTAAGCTTTGACCCAAATGATGAGCAGCCAATGGCCAGATAAGGAGGAGAGGAAAAGGTTACTCCAGGTAGAGGAAACAGGTTATTCCAGGTAGAGGAGCCTGTGGTAAGGGACTACAAGAAGTTTAGTCAGGCTGGGGGCAGAGCTGGCCTCAAGCCACGTATCCCAAGCCCTTCTTGCAGGACATGTCCCAGCTTCCCCCTGTCACCACCCCTGATCTTGGCAGGATGAGGCTGTGGAACGCTGCAGTCGCCCAGAGCCACCCCGAGAGCACTTTGGACAGAGGATCCTAGTCAAGTGTCTGTCGCTTAAGTGAGTGTGCTAATCACCCCTTCCTTTAGACATGCTGGCAAACCACGCTTCCTTTAGACATGCTGGCAATGAGGCGTGGAACTCACTGTGGGTGCCGTGCGATTCCTGGACACAGCCCTGAGACCCACAAGGCTGCCCCTGGGCTTTTAGGAGGGAAATTACTTCCCTTTTCATTGTTCAAAGCCCCCAATCCTTAAGTGCCAACTGTGTGCCAGGCTCTGCTATTAGCCCTTCACGTATATACACTCTTCACCACCACCTTGTCAAGTGGGTACGGCTGGGGAAGCCAAGGCACAGAGTAGTGAAGTCATTGTACCCAAGACCACAGGGCTCATGACAGCAGAGTCTGCTTTGCTGCTGGAATCCAGGCTGGAGGGGGTGCTGGTGACCCCAGGCCTGGCTTCTAGCCACCCGAGGCCCCTTCCACATCATTCCCAGGGAGCAGCCAGAAATGCGTGGGAACAGAACTGAACAGGATGTGGCCTTGGACCCCAGCCTGGCCCTGCCCCTCCCCACCCTGAGTTCCTGCCTGGACAGGGAGGGGAGGCAGGAAAAGGAGGTCCCGGTCTGGCCTGAGGCCCTGGTGGGTCTCCTGCCCCAAGCACAAGGGCTGGAAACTGGCTCTGAGGGTTCCTCCAGTCATGTAACATACATTGAGCACCAACTGTGTGCAAGGCATGTAACCACGTGATGATCCCACGGGGCCTCAAGAGAGGTGTGCAGGGCTCTGATTCATTGTGGGGGTTGGGGCTTCCCTGAGGAGGAGGCGGGCAAGGCTGAGACGAGAGGAGGAAAGAGAATAGTTTAGTGGGTGCTGCCTGGAGAGGGGCAAATGAGAGCAAAAGGTAGGTGGGGCTGGGTCACCCGGGATCTTGTTTTTTGAGCAGTGAGGAGTCTTAAATTTAAAGTTTTAAAATGCTTCCTTTGAAGGGACATGGTGCATGGGAAGAACAAAGCAAATTAAGATAAGGAAAAAGTATGGGGGTCTGTCAAGTAAATGTGGATGGCAGAACGGAGGGACAGGGAGCTCCGGGATCAAGAATTTCAAGATGGGGGGCATTGTTTTGTAAATGTTGCCTCCATGCCACCTGAACAAGGGCCATGGTTGTGAGAGAAGGGGTTTTTGTGTGAGCTACTCAGTGAGAGAAGCATTGGGAAACCAAAACACCTCTGTGCCTCAGTTTTCCATACACATCTTTCCTGTGAGCCCTTAAATGGCGGTTTCCTGTAGCCCAACAGGAATCAGGCTGCTCTGCTCCTCCTTCCCCTTGTGCCAAGGCTGAGTTGGGTCTCGAAGGAGTGGTAAGAGTGCCAGGGACAGCCCCTCCCACAGAGCTTCCATTTACCCACAGGTTCGAGATCGAAATTGAGCCCATCTTTGGCATCTTGGCCCTGTATGATGTGCGGGAGAAAAAGAAGGTAGGAGCCCTTTCTTCTCCTTCCTCCCCCCGCGCCCTCCTTGCCAGGCTGTAGACTTCCTGGAGGCCATGGTCCAGCTTTCCTCTCATGTCTCCAGATCTCAGAGAACTTCTACTTCGACCTGAACTCAGACTCCACAAAGGGATTGCTACGGGCCCACGGCACCCACCCTGCCATCTCTACCCTGGCCCGCTCTGCCATCTTCTCTGTGACCTATCCCTCGCCTGACATTTTCCTGGTCATCAAGGTGCCTGCTGGGATTGGGCAGGGTGATAATGTCCCTGTTCTCATGGAAGGAGATATTGTCACCAAAGAGAGTGATCTGGACTGTCCTGGGGGCAGCACAGGCAGCGGGGGGGCTCAGAGAAGACTCTTAACTCAGGTGGGGAGAAATGACCGAGGACTATGCAAGATGACATGCAGATGCATATTTAAAAGATTTTTTTAAGTTGACCATTTTTTTTAATTTAGTGGAGAGGAGAAACCTAGTGGGCACATTTGTTTGGGATTTTTTATTTCTAGGAGTGAGCTCAAATTTCCTTTCCCAAAACATGCAATGAGGTTATAATAATAACACTAATTGACCCCTCTATGCAGGCACTGCTCCTGGTCAGTCAGGCTTTGTTGGGATTCCTGCTTTTACTCCTCAGACTTGTCATGGCTCCCACCTTGCATATGGGTAAACTGAGGCACAGATAGGTAGGGACCTGCACAAGATCCCACAGTCCCCTGAATGGTGAAGGTTAGAGTCTAGGCCTGATGGCTCAGAGCCAGACTTGGAGTGGTCTCTATTTATACTAACAGAAAAATGCAAACGTAGGCAAAATATGGAGTTTGGGCTTTGTGGTAGATTCAAAGGGTGAGGAGGAGGCAGCTGATCAAGGAAGCTATCTGCTAGTGCTCAATCCTGAGAACAGTGGGAGGTGTTAGAGTAAGAGCATTAGCTGGAAGGGGTATGTAGTGGTCCATGAAAGGTCCAAAATGCTGGGGGCTGGGTCAGGAGGCCAGGGTCTGGGCAGCACCTCACTGGGCCTGCCTGCTCCTCAGCTGGAGAAGGTGCTACAGCAGGGGGACATCAGCGAGTGTTGCGAGCCCTACATGGTAATGAAGGAGGTGGACACAGCCAAGGTAAGCTCGTGGAGGCTGGTCCTGGTGGTAAAGGGGCCACTCGGAGGGACAGATCTTGGATTCAGCTGACTTAGAGCACTGAGCTTGTGTGTGTGTGTGGTTGGGGGGCTCTCCCCACAGAACAAGGAGAAGCTGGAGAAGCTGCGCTTGGCAGCTGAACAGTTCTGCACCCGCCTGGGCCGCTACCGCATGCCCTTTGCCTGGACGGCAGTACACCTAGCCAACATCGTTAGCAGCGCTGGGCAACCAGACAGGGACTCAGACTCTGAGGGCGGTGAGAAGGCCTGGCTGGCAGGCAAGGGGCGGGGTTCCCAAGAGTGTGGGAGGGGCGCCCTCTACTGATTAGATTTGGGATCAGCCCTGAGTCACGGAGTCTGCCCCTCTAGATCTCATCTCTCAGCACCCTTCCATCACTGTCACTGTCTCCCCCAGAGCGCCGACCTGCCTGGACTGACCGCCGCCGGCGGGGGCCCCAGGACAGGACAAGTAGTGGGGACGATGCCTGCAGCTTCTCCAGCTTCCGCCCAGCCACACTAACTGTCACCAACTTCTTTAAACAGGTGTTGTGGCTGCGGGGCAGGGGGTTTTGGGAAGGGCATCAGGGCCATGCCCACCATTACCCTCCTGTGAATGCATTGGCCCCAGCAGCCCTAGCCCCTCAGCCCTAGCTCACAGGGGCATCCCATGCAGGAGGCCGAGCGGCTGAGTGATGAGGACCTCTTCAAATTCTTGGCCGACATGCGGCGGCCATCATCCTTGCTACGGCGCCTGCGGCCTGTGACGGGTAAGTGGCATGAGGTGTAGTTCTCAACGAACACACAGTGAGCATCTGCCATGCCAGGCCCTGGGAACCTAGCAGTGACCATGATAGAAAAATCCCTGACTATAGGGGTATCTAGTGGTCCATGAAAGGTCCAAGATGTTGGGCGTAGGGTGGGGAGGCCAAGGTCTGGGCAGCACCTCACTGGGCCTGCCTGCCCCTCAGCTGGAGAAGGTGCTACAAGTACCAGAATAAGACAGTAGGTGGATGTGGGATGCGGTGGCAGAGGGAAATAGGTCCTGAGGCAGAACTGATCACACATTGGGGTGAGAGATGGGAGTGACTTCTGGCCTTGCTACCTAAAGGACAGACCCACCAGAGGGCATTGTGGGAAAATCAGATCCCTGATCCCAAGGCCCAGAAAGGATAGGGCTGGGCCTGGAATCTCCCAAACAGCTATAAATCTGCTCCCTCTCCCTAGCCCAGCTCAAGATTGACATCTCCCCTGCACCCGAGAACCCCCACTTCTGCCTCTCCCCGGAGCTGCTTCATGTCAAGCCCTACCCAGACCCCAGGGGCCGACCCACCAAGGAGATCCTGGAGTTCCCTGCTCGAGAGGTCTACGCCCCTCATACCAGCTACAGGTAGACACCGCTGGGCACTTGGGCATTGAGCTCAGTGAAGTCCCCCTTTTTCCCAGACACAGTCACCCAGAATGAGATGCCACTGCTCTGCTTTATTGAGAGGGGTATAGGCATGAAGGGGTGCATGTTCTTTCTCCACCCCTCTTGATGCAGCTCCACGTCCTCCGCTGTGTCCCCGCCTTCTTCTCTCTCGGCTCCGGGACCGGAAGTGGCCTGGTGCCCTGGCCGGCCCTGGCCGGCCCCAGCGGTCTGGCGGCTTCTCCCTGTGCTGGTGCTGTGTCGGGCTTGGAAACTCCCCTTGGGGCATGACTGGTCCTCACTTTCTCCCAGGGAGGCTCAGGCCGGGTGTGCCTCGGTATGGAGTCTGGGAGGGAGAAGAGGCACAGTCAAGGCAAGAGGGCCCCCAATCCAGCTGCCTTGCATACTTCCCTGCCCAGATGTCCCATGTGACCAACCCCCAGCACACTTACCTCTCCTGGATCTGTTGCAGCCGGTGCTGCTGTGCTACCATCTCCTGTCTCTGTCGCTGCACATGGCCTGTGAGGGCCCACACAATGTGGCTTTGTTTATCAGCATGGGCCTGTGAGGTTAGGACAGAAACCTTAATGGGAAGCCACCTCACCCCTCTCATCCTTTGATGCTGTCCAGAACCCCACCCCTCAGTGCACCTTCCCTGTCAACTTGCTATCTGTAAAATGAGATAAAATAGAACTTTCTTTGTGGCCTTGCTGTAAGCATGCTGTGGATTTTGAAAGAACATGAAACAGTGCTAGGTAACTTCCTAGACACTGAGGGAAATGTCACCATTTACTCCAGTTGTAAGCGTTTACTTGGTGCCTGCTTATATCCTGCCGTGTGCTGAATATGTTATCTACACTGAGTCCCTGGCCCTGCTCTGAGTCTTCAGTTTTCTGTTTACACGTGAGGAAACTGAGGCATGGAAAGGGGCGAGGGGGGTCTCTGGCACTCAAGGTTCTGAAGATAGAAATCAGAGTCTTAACTCCCTCAGGGATGGAAATTTCTTACCTTTAAGATCTCAAATTCTTGGCGGGCATGGCCAAGCCACACGCCCTTTAGCTGAACTTCAAGCCGCTGCATGCTCTCCAATAGCACCTGCTGTCCCTGGGCCACCTCTTCTAGTGCCTCGGTTATGGCCTCTGCCTGCTGCTTTAGAACATCTTCTTCCACCTGATTGACAGATAGTGGGGTGTTGGTAGGATGACCAACTCATCATTTACCTGGGACTTAATTGATTTTAACCCTGAAAGTCCCATATTCTGGGAGCCCCGCAGTACTGGGTAAACCCAGGCAGTTGGTCACCTAAGACATTAACTCTGCCATAAACTCTGTTCATCCCGCAATACCCAGATGGCAGCGCCTACCTGCATTTCCAACAGGCTTGTGCGTAGCTCCTGGGCTGCATCCCGCCCCTGGCTGACCTCCTGTCCCAGGAGTCCCAGCACTTGATCATAGCGGCCCAGGCTGTGTCCAGCCTCTGTCAGCTGTGTCTCTGTGTTCCTGTACACGCCATTGAAGGCCTGGCCCAGCTGCAGGACACCATGGAAGAGCAGGGTCAGCTCCTCATGCTGTGCTGGCTCTGGACCACCCATGGGAGCTGCCATGGTCGGCCAGGCCACCGTTGCCAAATTGTACAGCAGGCACAGCATGAGCATGGGCATGACTGGTGGTCTGGTGATGCAGCCACGGTGCCGTTGTCACAGCTTATATGCCTGAACACTCCCCTTAACCCCTGGTCAATCATTAACTGGCCAGCTGGTGTCCTGTATTGTGCAAGGGTCTGGCGATGGCATGACAGTTGCATCAGGCAAATGTCCGGCCGGGCCACGTTGGGATCACGCTGGCTTGGGCTCAGGGCCAGGTGTGGGCTAGGAGTAGTGGGAGGACAGGCTCAGGCCCTGCTAGGGGACCCTGGTACTCTGCATTTGGGTTCCCCAACTCTGGGTAAGCATAACAAGTGAGAGTCATGTGCACTAGAGTTTACCCCAGAGCTGTTCGATGGTAACTGGTCTCCTCACACCCTTCCCACAAGCCTGAAATGCTGGGACCTTTGCTGGCCTGGTCAAGAGTTGGGGGAGAGTTGGGCCTCCCTGGTGGTGCAAGGGGTTAAGATGCAGCTCTATGAAGCTCTCCGCAGCCACTGCAGCACTAGTTCGATCCCCAGCCAGGGAGGTGACCCACATGGCGCAACGAACCTCTCCTGTCTCACCCGCTGCTCCCCTCAGCAGTGTATTTCAGTCGATATGCCTGTTCTGTTTCCCACTCTCTGGTGAATCTTCTCACCCCCCACATCTCTGGCCTGTACCCCAGCTCTTGTATGCATAAATAATCTTTAAAAAAAAAAGGAGTTGGCGGATTACGTGCAGGTGGTAGAGACTCTCCCAAGGCTACACAGCTGATTCCAGGACCCACACATGCCCCAGATCAATGCCAACTGCCATTTTTTCTCCCTGATGCCTGTGGGCAAGTGCTGCAATTTCCCTACCTATAAATTAGTCCTGCCTCTCAGGCCACTTGTGACAAGTGAATTATTTCATGCTGAGTGCTTAAGACTGAGCCCAGCATGCAGTAGATGCCACATTAGTGTTTGCTGACATTACTCTTGTTTATTGTCATTGGTGTTGTTACAAAGACTCAGCTGGGAGGCCTGATGCCCCCATTATGTGGACAGGGAAACTGGGCCTAGAGGGAGGTTGGGGCTTGCACAGTTATCCCTGGAGGAGTGGCAGAACTCTGACTCCAGGCCAGCCTCTGTCTCCAACTCTGGCCTCAGTTTCCCCACCTAAGGGATAGACCACATAACTCCAGTGGCCTCTTCTGCAAGAAGGGCAATCAGGCCCTGAGCCAAGTGATGACTGGTCAGTCTGGGTGGGACTTGGACCTACCACTAGCCACATAGGTCACCTTCTTGAAACCCTGGCCCTGAGCACCCTCTGTCCTCTGACCTTCACCTCGCTGTGCCCATTAGAACTCCCTAGTCCCTCTGTTCCCACCCGCTGCCATACTCTTCCCTATGTGTGCTCTGATGGTATCCATCTGTCCCCCACCCTCTGACACCCTCTCTTTCCCCCAGGAACCTGCTGTATGTGTATCCACACAGTCTCAACTTCAGCAGCCGCCAAGGCTCCGTGCGCAACCTCACTGTGCGAGTACAATACATGGCAGGCGAGGACCCCAGCCAGGCCCTGCCGGTCAGTGACTGTGCCCAGGGGAAGCAGATGGGGTGTCTCTAGGGGGACCCTCATGGCCCTGTTCCCCCAGGTCATCTTTGGCAAGTCCAGTTGCAGTGAATTCACCCGAGAGGCCTTCACACCTGTGGTCTACCATAACAAGTCTGTGGGATAGGGGGATGGGGCACCAATGGGAGAGTTGGAGAAGCAGATGGGGGCAGTGGGTGGGGAGTGCTCTGGGAGCACTCATGGGAAACCAGAAGCAGAGACAGCGGGGCCTGGCAGCACTGGGGGAACATTTGGGGGTGGATATAGAGGGGTATTACAAGCCCCAGCAAAAATCCTGTGGGAGCAAGGGCTATACAAGCCCCAGCAAAAATCCTTCCTTCCTGGAAGGTCACCTGAGTTCTACGAGGAGTTCAAACTGCGTCTCCCAGCCTGTGTGACCGAGAACCATCATCTGCTCTTCACTTTCTACCATGTCAGCTGCCAGCCCCGGCCAGGCACAGCCCTGGAGACTCCTGTGGGCTTTACTGTGAGCCCCCTTTCCCCCAGCCTACACCCGCCCTCCCCCGCCCTCTGGCCCCTTCCTGGCCCCACATCTGACCCCAGCCTTCCCCCAGTGGATACCGCTGCTGCAACATGGCCGCCTGCGGACCGGCCCCTTCTGCCTGCCTGTGTCGGTGGACCAGCCCCCGCCTAGCTACTCTGTGCTGACACCAGATGTATGTGCCCTGCCCTGGCCCTGCCTGCACTCCCAGCCCCACACCGCGTGGTCTGCTATTAATGAATTACCTGCCCTCCCACTTGTACCCTTGTAGTCCTCTGGTGGACCCTCCAGGGCCCTGATCGCCTCACCACTCTCATTATTGCCTCTGTATGGGTCTGTGGCCCTCTCCCCCACTAGTCATAATTCATCTGTGTCCCCTGCCTCTGCACCCACTGTCCCCCCACTAAAATTCCCACTACCTTTCCACTCAGTTCTCCCTGATCACTGCTGCCTAGTAGTACCCCACTGGGCATTTAGGATCCAGGGCCCATCACCCAGCCCACTCCCACTTATCCTCAAGGAATATTCCATCACCCTCCCACTTATGCTCAAGCCTCCCATTATATTATTTCCTAATTCATTCCCTCCAATTAACCTTCACCCTTGATCTCCGTTCTCTGTCCCTGCCCCCACTCCGTTAGCATCCCAGGCGTCCTGCTTGCCCAGTAGACCCCTATAATAAGTACTCCCTTTCCCTCCCTTTACCCCCATGGGGGCAATGCCTGCCAGCTCTCCTAAGCTGGCCATGCTTAGGCCACAGTGTCGCAATTGGGTCCAGCAGCCCAGTTGATGGGGGAGGGCTGGCCAATGCCTGCCTGATATGTCCCTCCCACAGGTGGCGCTGCCGGGTATGCGCTGGGTGGATGGCCACAAGGGCGTGTTCAGTGTGGAGCTTACAGCTGTGTCCTCTGTGCACCCGCAGGTAGGGGGTAGGACAGAAACCCAGGGGTCCACTCCAAGGGTTAGGCAACAGTTCCCGATTGCTGGCCTGGGAACATGGACGTGACTTTGTTCAGCTGGGCCATGTTCCCAGGGAAGCTGCTGACTCAGGTGGGGACAGCCGTGCCAGTGGCCATCCCAGCTGGGGCTTTGACCCTTCACCTGGTCTCGCCTCCTCTTTTATCCCTGGCTATTTCCTCCTCTCTCCCTCCTTTGTCCCTTTGTCCATCTATGGTCAGTTCATTCATTCCTAGCCTCTCTGCCCACTCAGCCCTTGATTTATCATCTCTCCCTACCTAAGTCCTTTCTGGAGCAAGAGCCCTGACCCTCCCTGCTCCACTCACCTCTGGCTCCCACCTAGGACTCCCACCTGGACAAATTCTTCACCCTGGTGCATGTCCTTGAGGAGGGGGCCTTCCCATTCCGACTCAAGGACACCGTGCTGAGTGAGGGCACGATGGAGCAGGAGCTACGGGCCAGCCTGGCAGCACTGCGCCTCGCCAGCCCCGAGCCCCTAGTAGCTTTCTCTCACCATGTGCTGGACAAGCTCATTCGTCTGGTTGTACGGCCCCCAATCATCTGTGGCCAGATCGGTGAGTGGGACCAAGAGTGAAAGGGGAGAAATTTAGATTATTAGATTTATATAGGTATAGGCCTCATACCTCAGTTTCCCCACCTGAAAAATGGCCCCCTGACCGGTGAATGCAGGTCTTCTATAACCCTTTCATGGTCACATGACCCCTTGGGCCCTAATGTCACTTCCTCAGGGAGATAGAAGGCTCAGGGCCCTGAACTTGACCTCTGTTCTGCCTGGCAGTGAACCTGGGTCGTGGGGTATTTGAAGCAATGGCTCATGTAGTCAGCCTTGTCCACCGGAGCCTGGAGGCTGCCCAGGATACATGTGGTCACTGCCCACTACTGGCTGCCTATGTCCACTATGCCTTCCGACTACCTGGCACTGAGCCCAGCCTCCCCAGCGGTGAGTAATGGTTGGGGACCCTGGGGGACAGGAAATAACTAGGAGGAGAGCTTTCCAAGCAGAGGGAATAACATGTGCAAAGGACCCGAGGCTAGTTTGGACAACTTGCAAGTGAACTTTTGGCCGCATCCTCAGGGCTCTGTTCTCTGTATACTTGACTGGCAGATGATTCAGCCAGTCCACAAGCATGTTTGGTAGCTTGAATCATGGACTTAACATGGTCTGCCTGAGTTTGAATCTTACCTCTGCAAGCTCCAAGACCCTGGGCAAGTAGCTTCACCTCTCTGGGCCCTCTCATTCGTAAAATAAAGATAATAATTACCCCATCAGGGTAGCTCATGCAGAATTCTTGATATAGTGAATACTCAATAAAGTTAGATTTCTTTTTTCATTTGCTGAATAATCAGTAGCAATCACTAATGCCTCTGGGCACTTAATATATGCCAGGTACTACTCTCAAGGTTTTTTAGTCTTCCCCAAATTGGTATGAGACAAGAATCATTGTCAAACTCATTTTACAGGTAAGGTATATGGAACTCAGAGAAGGAAAGCAACTTGGCTAAGCACAGCTGATTGGGGGAGGCTGGGATCCTCAAGGCAGATGGGTGAGAGGCTAACCATATTCCCTCCATCCTCAGGGGCCCTTCCGGTGACGGTGCAGGCTGCTACTCTGGCCCACGGGCCTGGCCGACCTGCAAGCCTCTACTTGGCCCGCTCCAAGAGCATCAGCAGCAGCAACCCTGACCTAGCCTTGGCCCCTGGCTCTGTGGATGATGAGGTGTCCCGCATCCTGGCTAGCAAGGTAGGGCGAGGGGGCCCTGATATCTCCAGCCTCTGTGGCCATGGCTGCTAGGTAGGTAGGTGGGGGATCTCAGTGTTGACGGAAGACAGGAACAACAGAGGCAACAGTATGGACACAGGCTTGACTGGGCAGAAGGGTGGGGCTATGACTGTCACAAGTTGGGGGTTGTGGCTCAGACTTTGCACTGGGCTCCACACTCCCAGGTTGTCCCAAGGATGGGT